CAAGGGGATCTCACTATTTGCCTGGAGATGGCTCGAGTACGGAGCCCACCTTCATGATGAGCCTTCTCATCAGAGGAAAGCAGATGACCACGAGCCATGTTGACAGTCAGGTTTAGAAATGCCTTTGCTACATATGCTTACCTTTATCAGTATCTTCAAACACGAAATTTCCTCTCTCCCATGAATAATTGTTCACTTTCTCAGGGTGACCTTATAATTATGAAACGGTGCAAAAACCGATAAACTGTTCTAAAAAAATTCAGAAAAATGCAGCTGCGGCTAAAAAACGGAAACCTAGGTTATTCGTGCTGGGGAATCCGTTCGTGATGCTAGAAAAAATCCTTGATGATTGTTTTTCCTGAAAGTGCAAAATTTGAGGGTGACCTTATAATTATGAAACGCACTGTATTGGAGTACTACCCTGCGTGTTCAGGCCAAAGTCACCAAGCGTATTTTTGCTCGTAAAGGTATGTTCCACGTCTTCTACAAAGAAAGGAAAGTTGTTTGATTACGATTTTGTTTACAAGCTTTCCACTGGGCTAGTGGATTTGGACTTCGATTCGTTCTTCCGGAAATCAGCTACTATCGGACGTACTAGAGGTCATAGTTATATACTATTAAGGGAAAAAACTTTCACTGCTCAATATAGGAATTCTTTCACTCAAAGAATAATTAGTTTATAGAATGAGTTACCGCCTTCCGTGGTTCACTCTAGCTCTCACAGCTCATTCAGGAAAAAAATAAAGATTATTTTAGCGTCTCAAGGTTGGTTTTAGAAGCAAGAAACCGAACTCTCAAGAACTTATCAGGCGGATAAGCGATTAACTTTGCTGATATGTTAATAACTTTGTCTGGCTCAGAAAACTGTTACTTTATGTCTACTTATTTATGAATAATTGAATTTTCGTTTTGTGCACAACACTATCCCCTTGACTTTTGCGATGCTGGTTTTGGTTTCGGCAAGTTGGCGGACCTACTAAGACAGTATCCGGAGTTCTACATATGTCGTCCTGTACGAGCTTGCAGGGTTGGCAGCCACTGCCCTACCGAGCCGAATTCCAATCCCTCTTCACGCAGATCCCTCTGTTGTTCCCTATTAGTTTAAAATTATTGCTTATCGGAGACTTGTTTGTGTTTCTTTTTGCCTTTCTGTTATTTTCTTCGATTTCCCATAATAAATCATAATCGTAATCATAATCTATGTATCTATGTATCTATGTACATATCTATGTATCTATTTATCTATGGATACATAGATACATATATCTGAGTTTCTGTTACAGGCAGTTTTCCATCCTATTCACCGCAATAATTTCTTCCCGCACTTCATTGACCACCATTTCTGCGCTAGGCAGGCTCTTGGGTCATTCAACCTAGATAATCCGCCTGCGTTACCAAATCCAGAGATATTCCCATACTCTATCTCGAAAGAGTATAGCATAAAACTCAATGGTCAACTACGTAGCCTTTCTACTAATACCTATTACTGGTAGACCCTGTTCAAGGCAAAAGATCCACACCAAGGATTGGTGATCGGTTGACAGCGTAAACCGCTGATCATAAGGGAAGTGATTAAAATTTTTGGCTCCNCCCCCCCCCCTTTCTCGGCTTCATCATCATATCTATGGTTTAATACTGTTCCTATACCATACCTGAGGCATGGGTGGCTAATACTACTGGAACATCAGGATTACACTTTGCTAGTGTCTCCGCATTGATTTCAGCGTTTTCGCGTATTTTTGCGAAAGCTTTTCTTCTTCAAGACATTATTTCCACGGTGCACTTCTCCTGCGTAAAGTGCTCAACGGCGCCATCAAAGTAACTAATCGAGGGACGAATTTCCCATAGTATCGCACTGTCTACTCATGCCCAGGTAAGATTCCAACTCTTTCATATTTCTAGGCTCTGGCACGTTCAGTATCACTTTCAATATACCGGGAGATGACCTAATGCTTTTTTCATCTACTTCGTGGTCTAAAGACATCATCTTCTACTTGAAAACTCTAATTTCTCTCTTGTGGCAAAATCCGTCCTCGTTCAGTCTATGAAAGACATTCACTAGTCTTTCCAAATGCAAATTGTAATCTGAACCTGTAACTGTAATATCGTCCACATAAATCAGCACCCATTCTATTCCCACCTCCATTATCCACTTGAATATCGCTGGTGCTGACGCAATTTCAAAAGAGATTCGCGTATACTCGAACAAACTCTTATGTGTATTGATCTCAGTAAATTTCTTGAGCTCTCCTCTCTAAACTTGCATTTTATACACACACGGAGGATCAACTTCGTGAAACTTCTTTTCGTCATGTAACACTTGAAATAAAACATTTGGCTTAGGCAATGGGCACTAATTGATATCTAATTGCGGGTAACCTTGCGGTTACCACAGATTCTTACTTACCCACCTGTTTTGGGCATAACCACCAGCGGTGTGGCCTATTCACTACGCTTAACATTCCTTATTGTTCCACTCCACACCGTTTCTTCCAAATTGCCTCTGCTCTGGGTCATAACGAAAGAGGTATTGTCCTAGCTCTCGAGAATTTAGGCACTTCTACACCATTTTCGAATATCAACTCTGCTCGGGCAAACGCGCACTTTCCCAAAAATCCTAAAACAGCTTCTTGTTGTAACTCAGTACAGGCACAATTTCTCTTTTTCTTTCTGCATTGGAATTTGTTCAAACCTGTGTGCGAAGATATGCGAAGGTATCTTGTGTACCCCATAATATCCCATAATGTGGTCTACAATCTATCTGCAATTCTCTTGTCATGTCCCGTCCACATAAGGAGCGTGTTCCCTTCTTATCGACACGAACATCCACTACTGCCTCCTTCCTATCGAGCCCCTGCACCTGCGTGTAGTACTCATATAGAGCGGGGTGCAGTAGGAACGGATTTGTCGCGTCGCGGTGAGAGGGACGCCGAGCGCGAAGGAATGTAGCAGGATGCGGTAGTAGGTAAGAACTACACGAACAAAAAAGAATAAATTGTAGAATTATGCCTAAAATAATTATCGCATATAGATTGAGCTGTATGAAGAACGCTAGAGCTAGAATTATGGCGAATGAGTGGTCCGGGACAGCCGCGTGCGGTGAATCGATCGATTATCCAAGGTCGTTCCTACTGCCCGTCTCTCATGTGGGCTTGTCCTTGCTCGTGTGTCCTCGACATATGCCCGGAACGTTCTCTCATTACCAGTTTTTTCGGCTGGTAATGTTGCTCCATTGCTGTCCGAAGACCCTTCAGACCCACTTCTTCCAATTCGTGTCTCTGCAGGTAACTCGTGTTTCGATCTAACCACCTTCTGCAGGAATGTCAGCTGCTAAACCTTTCCCTCTAATACCTTTCTTAACACGAGAAAGCCCGCAAACAGCTCACATAGGTCTGCCACGACGTTCCGGGACACAGGGCCTGGGGCGCGACTTCGGTAGACATCAGTACCGGGATCCACCGTCGTAGCTCTCCCCGTGACAGTGATCTATGCTTGCATCTTGACCCCTTGTCCTTGTGCATCTTCCACAGTCGTCAACCTGTTAACCTGATTGCCAGTTGTGTCGTGTTGTACATCACAGAGGAGGAATGCATTATTCATGGGATTACACCCTTTTCAAAAAAATGATCTCTCTCTATCACACTCTTCATTGATCACTCTTAATCCTTCACTTCTTCACGTTTTCAACTCCCCTACAAGCGTATTGGAGAATCAGAACATTTCTGCGTCAGGTACCCATCCGGCCCCCAAGAACATCATCTTCGTAACGTTCAGCCTTAAGCCGGCTTTGCACGAGCGCTGTTGAATTCGCTCAGCATTCGTTTCGTCTGCTCGATTTTCATGAGCAAGATGTCATTCGCAAAGCGGTAAGTGACGGCCGTGGGCTATATTTCCGGAATCTTCCGATTTCAAATGACGTATGACTTTGTCGAGTTGGCATCAAAATTTTGGGAGAGATGGAATAGACCTACTGTTCGCATTAACATTGGCTTCCTAATAGAATGGTGGAATCCTGATGATGACGTTGTCACTGAGCTTGCGAAGGATTCTTATACATCGAGCAGGATTCCCTGGTTGCCCAAGTTTATAATCACCGCTTCTGTGTTGACGGCATTGAAGACGTTCATCAAATTGATAAACGTCAGACATAACGGCATATGCGATACGTCAACTCAGTTTGACTGACTTTCATCTATTACAGGGCGCGCCATACTTATGGTAACAGCTTTACGGAAGTACACAATTCCCTTGTTAACAAGGTTTCTCAAAATCTGCACTTTCCTATGTTTATGATATACCTCAGCTCCCACATCTGCTTTGGTGCTCTAAATTGGTCAGCTTTCGAGGTATGGTGAAGGCTCGCGATCATCCAGCAGTCGCTCCGTCTTTGCGCGCATTTGGTGAACCAATTTCCGGTATCGCTCGTTGTTTCGACGTTTCTCGCATGACAGTCTCTCAAATCGCGTTGCGTGGACATATCAACGACAAGACGGTAGTCATGTTTCTGTTACTACTTCTTTTTCGATTACAATTGCCTGAGAATTGTAACGCCACGAAACCTGCAGAAACACGAGGAAAGTCACTGCCGAAATGGATGTATGTTCTACTTTGATAAGGAAAATCTTCCCCAGTATATAAATCCTATCCAGATAGGTCATCCAAACGCATCATGAGCTTTTTGACGTGAAATGTTCGAGTAAAAGCAAAAATGCTGTGCCCTACTTGCAGACGGCATGCGCTTCGACCCACTCTTTTGGCAAAAAGCTGTTCAGCGTGGAAGAAATGTTCTTATCCTAGAGAGCACGCTTTTCATTACGAGTTACGAGGCCGATTAGAGGAGTCAGATCTTTTCACGTATCCATTTTCCCTCTTCCTATTTTTAACGAGAAAATATAAAAAATTAACGACAACATATCATAAGGGTCATTCCTGCGATCATGCTGCTGAGGGTAAAATGTTTTCTCAAGGAACAGGTTTGAAAATTGCGGCGCACTTGCTCATGACTGGAAAGATATCAAGGACGGTGCTGAGACAACTTCGCGATTTTATTACAGTTTCCGACTGGACTGGAATTTCTAGGATCCCAACTGGAGGGGAAGGTGAGCACGGTTCATGCTAGAGAGGGGAGCCTGCGCTTCAAAACACACCACTGTTGCTACTTTTAAAGAATCGGTGAAAAAAGCCCAATCAGAGTTGCGTCGATAATTAGCCGAAGCATCTTTGAGCTAGAATCCAGTACAGGAGACGATTACATTATATGGCGATGCGTCCACTTTGTTGAAAAGATGCATAGCAAATATTACGCAAAGTATTACGCAAATAATATTATTACGAATTCACCATGTATCATTATGAAATGCGGTCTTTACTCGACAATTATTTTGTTACCATATTTAGACGCACTCAGCACTTCTAGTCCCAGTAGCCATGACTTTTGAGAATAACATGTGTGAAGAAATTATAGATTACAGGCGGATTGGACGACAGTTGCCACTACCATTTGAATCTCCCTTTCTCATTCAGCTCATTGTTGCTCTACTGCAGAGGTAGTGTTGGCAAGTGGCGCACTATCATACGCATGATCACGGGTTTGGACCCCTGACTGACGGGGCCTAAGCCAACCAGTCTCTCCATCCCTTCGGGGTTGGTTAATGGTACTAAATTCGTCTGGGAGGATAAAAGCACTGACCTGTAGGCTGGCCGCCGTGAGTCATTGTATAGACCCTACGCGCATTCATTACGCCACTACGATTCTGAATAAAAGCAGAATTTGGGGGGCGCTTCCCTCATACGGGATTGATGAATGCTCGGACACCTTCCCCTTTATTTATTGCTACGCTGCATAGCACTGCAGGTCTAGAGTTTGCTGATAGTTGCCTGCAGCTCGCGCGATTCCACTCTGGCGTATCAGCTTGAGAATGTTCGAAGAGAGACGTTTCTTGGCTACTTGTAAACTCTCAGCTTTCCTAGCACTATCGTGAAGATAGCTCAATGCCGGTCATATTTTTCGTCGATTCTTTTGCACCACAAACTACCATACCATAAACTAGCGAGAGGAACGAAGTAATCCAAGTTGGTGACGGTCTTGGGTATTGTTAACTGAACTCCGCAGATCTCTCTACTCGCGTTGAAAAGCAGAGTCCAACGCGGAGGAGACACTGACCCGACGCCTTTGTAACTTCGGAAAAACAACGACGTCATTTAGACAGAACAATGAGTGAAGGTGATCTGATCTATTTCGCTGGAACTGTTTACCAGGTGACCCATGGGTGAATCGCAAATGAAAGCGCTTTCGGAATGGCGAATTACCATGGACGGTTTAAGCTCACATGATACACTCGGGCAGTTTTTCACTCTGTTCGTTCCATCTCGTACTGTGGGTCTCGATGCGAAGATGTTCAGCCGTCCTTCTAAGGCCAATCTAGGCGTTGAAATCACCGACGATGACCTTGAAAGTGCAGAAAAGAAAGGGGATCCTCTTCGAATAACTTCCAGACTGTTTGCTGTTGCATGTTTTGAGAAGCATTTCTTCATCAGTCTAAAAACCGGCGTGCAGCGAGTAATGCTTTCTCGTCTCGGTATGTCTGTTGACGTTGTTCTTGATCTTCCTAGCTTGAATCATCATATCTTCGATACATCTCCAGAATGGTCGAGAGGCTTAGTTTGGGGCCAGCGCGGAATCGCTCATCAAATTACTTCCCAGCCATTTGAATGCGATGGCAGGATACCGACTGCACCCGGACAGTTTCCAGTAAAAGCTCTGTGTGAAGGATACCCGAGAACTTTCGGTCAGAAGCTAGCTGATTATTCGTTGGTTTCGTTATGTGGCTGAACCAACGAGTTTGAACACTTCGACAACTACGCCGCTTGATTGACACTGTGTCATTATTTTGAATAGAGCTAATAAAAAAATTAATTTTACATTTCAAATGACCAGATTCAAAACGACTCTTACGAGCAACGAGAGCGAAGAACCGTCGATGAAACAATATGTTAGTTATGGAGATTACCTCAGAACAGTATTGCCACATCTTTGACTCAAATGAAAGCCACACACCACGTTTTTTCTCTGATGATGCATACTAATTATTGCACCTATTGGGGAAACCCAAACTCGTTCCTGTTGACGTTCATCGAGATTTCACAAGGTTGATCAAGGTTTTTTCGATTCAAAAAACAGCTTACAAAGGTTCATATAGCAAATTTTGGACAAGTTCCGCATTACTCCTGCATTGTGTCACAAGCTGGCGCATATGTGCATCCGACACCGGCACTTAAAATTCTGTCGTGTCCACAACGAAATTCCGAGTTCAAACAAAAATTCGAACCTGGTGTGGGATCTGTTATATAAGCATCACCCTAAAAGATAACGTAGTTAATTGTAGCATTCATGCTGAAAGGAAACTCAAACAACCCACACAGATAGTGTCCACTATTTGCGCAGCATGCATCGAAAGCACGCCAGGCGAGCTCCCCATATCCTATAACTGAACAATAAAATCAATATGAAAAACAGCACGGCTAGAAGAAGAATTGAATCGATTCCTTCGAAGGATTCAGCTCCTTTGACAGCTTTTCTTTTGTGCTGAGAATAAGCTTCGGATGAACATCAATGGCTGTTCGTGCCGCAAAGAGACGCATTCTCATTTCCTGTCAAAAAAAACACACAAAGTCATCAATTTGCATCAGACACGCTCAGTCAAGAGGAAAATTCATAAGTGTTAATCACCTTAAAATGTCGCTGTGCATTATTTAAACTTGAAACATTCCTTGACACGTGTTTGAACGAAGACATTAGCTGAGCAAAGTTCTGAAATTGCCCTATTAATAAGATGCAATTCATGGGAGCCATATCGATAGATGGACCACCTTTTTGCTTCTGTTAACACTGGTCAAAGGAGCCCCTCGCGCAACTTCAAGGGCACTGCCGCATGAGCGAGACCTACATATTATATTTGACAATAATTATGAAAAGAAATAAATATGGTAACGTAAAGAACTCTAATATCTGTGAATAAAGGCCCGCAACGGAGAAGGGTGCCACTCACATATAAAAACTAATATTCAGCTGAATAAGGAAATCGACGTTAGAGACGACTGTAGTACTCTCACAATAAACTGGCTGATTGAGACATCTCTACAAGTATGAGGAATAGAGGCAGCATTCTTGGGTGCAGGCGTCTTAGTTTCTCTAACAAGGAAGGCCATGATTTTGTCAGAAGTTGCCGCTTTAACCCACTAAGCGTCGTTTGTTTCATTCATGGCGTCGACTCTCCGCACAGTAGAAGGCGCCCGTGGAATGCGCATTGAAAATAACGTGAACGTTACTCAAAAAGGGAGCCATATGTTGAAACATGTTGAAAAGTGCGGGAAGCTTTATATAAGCTGTCCACGCTTGAGCGAAGATAGCGAAGTAGACTACGAGTTGGGACGACAAGGCTGGGTTGATGGTTCGAGTCCCGGAGTCATTGTCGTTTTTGCATTTTATGCTGCCACCTAAAGATTGGTTCATATTGCACCAGGGCCAAAGCAAGTGCCTGACTGGTCATGGTCGTGACCA